ATGAGAGATTTCTAACCATAGATAAACAAAAGAAATAATAAAAAAAAAAATTAGGATTATGGGCTCAATATCATCAAACCTTCAATTAGTCCACAAATCACATTAAATACCATAAATCTCTTTAATGAAGAAGACATACAAGGGTAAAAGTATCCCTACCTCAACTCTAAAGCCAAATGTCCAACCTCCTTCACGAATTTACCACAAACCCACGATCCAATCGGTTGAGAATGACCCTCCTTAAGTGTTCTCCGTCCCTAGCAAACGATTTCGGGTGGGTCACAAGTGTATGAGAGGTATTTTATGGTATAAAGTTAGGGTTTCAAAGAGGGAGAGAAAAGGAATGAAGGTTAGTAAAAGTATTGTGTCCAAATGGTTCAAAATCGTAATATTTAAAAAGCTGAGATCGCGATCCTCGCTCAAGCTAAGGATTTGTCGCTCGAGTGACTAGACATAATAATTGACCTCGCTTGAGCGCAAGAAGCGTCGCTGGAGCGGAGAATACATATCTTCAGGTATTTCACAAACGCATATCCTCGCTCGAGCGTAAGAAGCCTCGCTCGAGCGAAGAACTTCACCTTCCCAGAAATTCTGCGTCTGGGAAAGAAACTTGAGAACTCTCAAAACTTGCTCGAGCGAAAGAAAACTCACTCGAGCAAAGAAGTAGATTTCACAAAGCTCGCTCGAGCACAGGAAGGCTCGCTCGAGCGCGAGTGAAAAAGCCAAAATCTGGGAAGGTACTATTTGGACCAACCAACAACCAACCTGCCCCAAACATGCCTAGCACAATCAAAAAAGTCAGACTGAAGTTAAAGGAGAGAAAGGGAACACAGATACATTATTAAACCGCGAAACCCAAGTTCGGAATACGATAAAGATCGGGTCCAAAACCTGGATCACTATAATCTTCCCCTCTAAAAGAATTTCGCCCCCAGAATTAATCTACGTCACTAACCTAATAAACATAAGGCAATCTCAACAAACGCATACACATACATTCTAGTTTTTTTATCATCTTCATTGCACCATTCATCAATGTTAACAATTCTAACCATAATTATCATAAACCAAGGTGCCAACAACTAAGAATAAAGGGAAATTTAGCTCACTTTTAACACCATAACTATTTGAAGAATACAAGTACATTTACAATATCCAAGGCAGACATGATACCACCTCAAACTCATGGTCAAAACAAAAGACATTAGGAATTTGTGGCTCGAGATCAACTTCATTAGTTACTTAAGAAAAGCAAGAAATGTAATACATCACAAATTTAAGAACAATTCGGGATACTTCTCGCGGACTTCGGTTTCTCATTCCCACGTTGCTTCCTCTACCCCGTGGTGATGCCATAATACCTTGACTAGGGGAATTGTTTTACCTCTCAACACCTGTTCTCGTGTATCCAGGATTTGGATTGGCTTCTCTTCGGAAGATATTTCTTCGTCTACTTCAATTTCCGTCCAATTTAACACATGAGAGGGGTCAGGTTCATATTTACGGAGCATAGACACATGGAATACATTATGAACTCCCGAGAGTTGAGGAGGTAATGCAAGACAGTATGCCACTTCTCCAACCTGTTCAATGATATCAAAGGGGCCAATAAACCTGGGTGATAACTTCCCACTTCGGCCAAACCTCATCAAGCCCTTCCTAGGAGAGATTTTCAGAAATACATGATTGCCTATCTGAAATGATAAGGGTCATCTTTTCCTATCTGCATAACTCTTTTGCCGACTTTGAGTGGTGATTAATCGTTTACGAATAAGGGCAATTTTCTCGGTGGTTTCACTAACTAGGTCCAAGCCTAACAAAGGTGAATCTCCTACTTCAGTCCAACATACTGGCGATCTACACGGACGCCCATATAACGCCTCAAAAGGTGCCATTCCAATACTGGCTTGAAAGCTATTGTTTTATGCGAATTCTACCAGGGGTAAATGCTTCTCCCATGACCCTTTAAAATCTAGTGCACAGGCCCTCAACATATCTTCTAGAATCTGAATAACACGTTTGGATTGCCCATTAGTTTGCGAGTGGTATGCCGTACTAAAGTTTAATTGAGTTCCTAAGGCACTTTGAAGACTCTGCCACAATTTGGCCATAAAGCGAGGGTCCCTATCAGACACTATGCTGACTGGCACTCCATGGAGGCGAACAATCTCACGAACATAAAGTTCCGTTAAAAATTCTACGGAGTCCCCCATACTCATGGCGAGAAAATGGGCGGACTTAGTGAGTCTGTCAACAATCACCCACACTGCATCGTTACTTTTCTGAGTCCTAGGGAGACCAGAAACAAAGGCCATGTGCACGTATTCCCACTTCCATTCGGCAACTGGAAGGGGTTGAAATAGTCCAGCCAGTCTTTGGTGTTCCGCCTTAACTTGTTGACATGTTAAACACTGGGACACAAAAGAGGCTACATCCTTTTTCATGCCCCTCCATCAAAATTGGCGGCTTAGATCATGATACATCTTGGTGCCCCCCGGGTGCACAGCGAAACAAGAATGATGAAAGTCTTTCAAACCTCATTTCTCATTGATTCAGGTACAAACAACCGGTCGAGATAATGAACACTAGAGTCCGTATAAACATTTAAACCCCTATTTTCCCTTCCGAGATGAATTCTCCCTTTTATAGCTTCCACTTCTGGATCCCCCAGTTGAGCTTCAATTACTCTTGCAACAAGAGTCGTTTGTGCGACAGTGGCAAAAAGGGTAGCTTGTTCCGGAGACTCACCAAACTGTAGAGTAAACTCGTTGACGTTCCCCATCATCTTTCACTCATTCATCGCTAGGTTGGCCACTATACCCACCAACTTTCTACTCAAGGCATCCGCCACCACGTTAGCGTTACAGGGGTGGTAGTGTATCTCAAAATCATAGTCTTCTAGGAACTCTATCCATCTTCGTTGACAAAAGTTTAAGTCTTTCTGAGAGAATAAATATTTGAGGCTTTTGTGGTTAGAGAAGACTTCAAATTTCTCACTGTAGAGGTAGTGTCTCCACAACTTCAAGGAAAATACAACTGCGGCGAGTTCTAGATCATGAGTCGGGTAGTTTCTCTCATGGGTCTTCAATTGGCGCGAACCATATGCCACCACCTTTCCTTTTTGCATTAAAACGCATCCCAATCCCTCTCTGGAAGCATCACAATACACTGTATAACCTAACCCTTGTTCTGGAATGATGAGAATTGGAGTCGTGGTTAGTTTAAACTTTAATTCTTGGAAGGAGTTCTCACATGCTTCATTCCAAACAAACTTCACTCCCTTGTGGGTCAACCTTGTCAAGGGCGATGCTAAGGAAGAGAAATTCTTTACAAACTGGCGGTAGTAACCGGCTAAACCTAGAAAGCTATGAATCTCTGAGGCATTCTTAGGCTGCCCCCACTCTAACACGGCTTCTATTTTTGATGAGTCCACCATCACCCCGTCTCCCGAAACTACGTGACCCAAGAACTTCCCTTCTGAAAGCCAGGATTCACACTTCTCATACTTTGCATATAACCGATGCTCTCTAAGAAGTTGCAAAACCGTACGAAGATGTCCTTCATGCTCTTCTTCGGACGGTGAATAAATAAGGATATCATCTACAAAGACAACCACAAATTTATCAAGGAATTCCCGGAAGATCCTATTCATTAGGTCCATGAACGTAGCTGGGGCGTTGGTCAACCCAAAAGGCATAACTAAGAACTCGTAATGACCATATCGGGTACGGAAGGCAGTTTTGGGAATATCTTCTTCCCTAACTCGAATTTGATGATAACCCGACCTTAAATCTATTTTGGAGAAACAACGAGAGCCCTTAAGTTGGTCAAAGAGGTCATCAATTCTAGGCAAGGGGTATTTGTTTTTAACCGTGGCTTGATTCAATTTGCGATAATCTATACATAATGTCAAGGACCCATCCTTCTTATTTGCGAACAAAGCCGAGGCTCCCCAAGGTGACGTGCTAGGGCGTATAAAGCCCTTACTAAGTAACTCCTGTAATTGTTCCTTCAGGACCACTAATTTAGCTGGGGCAAATCTATATGGCGACAATGAAATGGGTGTCGTTCCTGGAAGCAAGTCTATGGTGAACTCTACCTCCTTGTGAGGTGGCAACTCTAAGAGATCTTCAGGAAAGACATCAAGGTAATCACACACTACCCTTGGGAATTCCTTTCGAATTACATCACCACCATTCTCCCGAAGGGTTGCTAGAAGAAAATTAATCCGCCCCCCGCCATGTGGGTAGTAAGAGGAGAGTAAGGACTTATCACACCTATCCCCCAGAAATGTGAAACAATCATCGTTTGCAGTACACACAGAAACCTTCTCCCAATGACAATCTATTATCGCCCGATATGTGAACAACCAATCCATTCCAAGAATAACATCAAAACCCGCCATTTCTATCAATATAAAATTAAACGAGAGTTGTCGACCGGCTACCTCAATAATACACCCTCGACATTCCCGGTTCAGAATGACCTTTCCCCCTACTGGTGACTCTACAGTAAGCGAAGCCGGCAATTGTCTACTCTCTAACCCCAACAATGATGCAAATGACGTGGCAATAAATGCATGCGATGCTCCAGTGTCAATCAACACCTTAGCCCAAGTATTGAAAACAAGAAATGTACCTCTCACCACTGATGGCCCCGAAGTTGGCTCAGAGGTAGTGACAGCATATACTCTACCTTGTGACCTCTGATCCCCCATGTCACTTCTCAGAAGATAAGCTTGTGGTGTGGATTGAGCAGAAGTGGCTCATTGAACTGCCCTGGGTGCTTGCCCTGATTGAGTTGACTGATATGAGTGCCTCTGCTCTTGACCCATCTGTAAACCTCCAGACTGCCTAGATCCCACCACTTCCGAAACCCCAGCCTTTTGTGGACAACTTCTTCAAATGCCCAGGTTGTCCATACTGATAACAAGATTATGGATGGCTCCTATTTTGAGACTGACCCTATGGCCGCACAGACTGAGACCGTGCTCCACCTTTCTATCCACACTCCGCAGCCTTGTGACCCATTTGGCCACACCTATAACATGCACCAGTAACTCGGGGCATATTTCCCGAACTCCCACCCGATATATAACTTGAAGATTTGGCTTGTTGTGGAGATGATTGCCAAGATGATGACGAACCCCTGGACCTCTTGGAAGAACCCGTGTCATTCCTGGTATCAGACTGTCCTGATCTCTTCGACTTTTGCCTTGCCTCCTTGGGCTCCACAGTGATCTCTACATGAGTCGCCACTTCAACTAAACGGTCATAGTCACGGATCATGTTGCCAACCACCTTCATCAAAATCTTCGGCCTCAACCTTTTCTCAAATTCAAGGCATTTCCTCTCTTCAGTAGCCACTAATTCGGGTGCAAAGCGGGATAAGCTAGTAAACTTAGTCTCATATTCCGCCACCGGTGTATCTAGTTGCAATAATTGCTCAAACTGCTTCCTCAATCGCTCCCTAGCAATGGGAGGGAGGAATTTGTCTTGGAAAGCTTACACAAATGCTCCCCAAGTATGCTCAACCCTATGCTTGACGGATTTCCACCATTGCCCGGCCTCCCCCTTCAATTCGTAGGTTGCTAACGCCACTCGCAACTCATGCTCTTGGATGTCTAGGATCTCAAAAGACTTGACTATTTGCTCCAACCACTCATCCGCTTTCATTGGGTCGGGCTCACCACTGTACTCAGCCGGATTAGAACGAAAGAACTCATTTTTCAGAAAGGAAGTTCTCGTCTCCCCCTCAATGGTCCTAGCTACTTGTTTGGCTCTCAATATTTCCATGGACTCTTGTAGAGCCCCTGCCATTTCCCTCGCCAAAGCCCTCATAGCTTCTTGGGCTGGTGGAACGGGTATGTTGTTTGACCCACTCCTTCCTCTTGTGGAGGGATCTCAGGTTGAACTGGAATGTTTCTACCACCCCGATGGGGTCTACCCCGAGGCCTAGCACGCCCAGACATCTATATAAAAAAAAGAAACAACGTTAAATTCAACAACGAATCTCTGCACCTAAGTGCTCTACGTTCACTTGCCGTGCAACCCTCATGTAGTTATACATCAATCAATTCAAACAAATACTCAATATTCACATAGAAACACACTTGAGTCATCCTCCCTAGATGTTAGCTAAGTCCGTGGCAATCAAGGATCTCCAAGTGGAAAGAACAGTAATCAAGTGCCTTTCCAATAAGATTTCTATGAATGCAATGGACCAAACCACATCTTGGGAGCCTAACCCCACATCCCTATAGTCACATGAAAACACATAGCACACAATATATCCCAAGCATTTCGTCTTGACCTAAGGACCCAATTGTGATCAACGTCACTTTCTACGAACCCAAAGTATTCGAGCCTATTGCTCTGCTACCAACTTGTAACACCCTAGCAAAACACACACAATGACATACACCAATACCATGTTCATGAACACCCACAAGATCATCTTTCTCATTGAACAAAGAATTGAGCGTTTACATTACATACATTACATTCTCATGATATTCAAATATTCACTCTCTGTTTAGCGAACTAGATAACTTACAAAAATAAGGCCCCTTGGGCATACAACATTACAAAACACAAAAAGTAGTTCTGTTACAAAGGCCCCAAAATAAACACATAATGATCAGAGTCCTTGACTTCAATTAGTTCCCAAAAGTTGATAAAGATAATGCTTGAACTAATCTTTCAATGAAGCTGCCCTTCATCGATTCCTGAAAAATTAGATTAGGGTTGAGCTAGATGCCCAGTAGGAATACATTTATCCATGTATCTAATCCTTTGAACGAGATAATGGCATCCATGAGATAAAACGCTCTAATAAGATATGTTTTCATAAGAAATAGTCAACAATTCATAAGGAAGTATTTTGAGATAATATGATAAATACAACTCACATCAATCAAGTACTACAATCAAATATCCACAAACAAGAGAAACAGACCACACTCCTCTCTACGTGAACCCAACCAAGAACAACATTTACTTTTTAAAGACAACCCCCACATTCGCCAGCTATTATACGGCAGGAGGTGGGCACCCTATGAAAACCATCCGTTTTTCCACTTTCGCCGGCTACTATACGGCGGGACTGTGTGGACACCTAAAAATATTTTTCCCACATTCGTCTAGCGATAAGCCTAGACGGGGCAATTAGGCACCCTTTTTAAAGTTCCTGCGTGGGTACCAACACAACACCATTTCTACTCCTCACTGACACATACACAAGGACTCATGCATGTCAATAATTTAAATCACATCTCTATCCCACATTTAAATCATTAAGCAACACATAAATTTCAAAGAATCATAGCATTCAAGTCACCATCTCTCTAACCACATCAAATGTCACATTTCATTTCTCCATTATTTATCCATGTCTATGATTCAAGAGGAAATTTCATCATACTAAGTAATTCTTATTAAATTAGAAACTTAGGGTTTTACCAAATTTGGGGTTTCTCATTCCTTGTCACTAATCTAATTTCTCAATCACATTTATAATCATTTTTAAAAGAAAGAGATGAGAGATTTCTAACCATAGATAAACAAAAGAAATAATTTTTTTTTTTGAGGATTATAGGCTCAATATCATCAAACCTTCAATTTGTCCACAAATCACATTAAATACCATAAATCTCTTCAATAAAGAAGACATACAAGGGTAAAAGTATCCTTACCTCAACTTTAAAGCCAAATGTCCGAGCTCCTTCACGAATCTACCACAAACCCACGATCCAATCGGTTGAGAATGACCCTCCTCAAGTGTTCTTCGCCCCTAGAAAATGATTTCGGATGGGTCACATGTGTATGAGAGGTATTTTGTGGTAGAAAGTTAGGGTTTCAAAGAGGGAGAGAAAAGGAATGAAGGTTAGTAAAAGTATTGTGTCCAAATTGCCCAAAATCGTAATGTTTAAAAAGCTGAGATCGTGATCCTCGCTCAAGCTAAGGATTTGTCGCTCGAGTGACTAGACACAATAATTGACCTCGCTCGAGCGCAAGAAGTGTCGCTCGAGCGGAGAATACATACCTTCAGGTATTTCACAGACACACACCCTCGCTCGAGCGTAAGAAGCCTCGCTCGAGTGAAGAACTTCACCTTCCCAGAAATTCTGCATCTGGGAAAGAAACCTGAGAACTCTCAAAACTCGCTCAAGCGAAAGACACCTCGCTCAAGCGAAGAAGCAGATTTCACAAAGTTCACTCGAGCGTAGGAAACCTCGCTCGAGCGAAGAAGCCAAAATCTGGGAAGGTACTATTTGGACCAACCAACAACCAACCTGCCCCAAACACGCCTAACACAATCAAAAACTCAGACTGAAGAGTTAAAGGAGAGAAAGGGAACACAGATACATTATTAAACCGCGAAACCCAAGTCCGGAATATGATGAAGATCAGGTCCAAAACCCGGATCGCTATATGACCTGACTCTTGTGATGTTCTGGACTTAGGCTTAGTGCTTTCGTATTGTTGTTTATCTCCTTCTTCCCTTGTATACCTTTGAAATTGGTCTTTGGGTGGTTGTGGGTGTGCTTGGAACAAGTTGGTTGCTTGTTTGTCCAAAACCTTGTTGCACATAATTTTGGTCTTCCGCTCGAGCGGGAGTTGCAAACCCTCAATACTTTGCATGTCTGCAAAAGTGCTGAAGAAGTGTTTTTCACGCTCGAGCGGGTGAGCGCTCGAGCGTCCTTTCTTGAGCTTTAGTGGTTATTCTGTTGTCTGCAAAATTTCTGGAGGTGTGTATTCTGCGCTCGAGCGGGCCTCCTCTTACACTCGAGCATCAAACTGTCCGCTCGAGCGGACTACGTGTATATCAGATCGCAAAAAGCACTTTTTACATCACTTTTTTCATATCTTTTCACCCAAAACCCTAAGGTTGAGAGTCTCTTTCTCTAAAACTCATATTCTCTCTACATTTTGACCTAGATCCTTTGATCTCTACACCCTTGAGCCTTCATTAAAAAGGGAAAGCTTCTTAAGATCCTCTCTTTGACCCGATTAAAGTTGGATTTCGGCATTTTTGGAGTTCTATCCTTGCTTGGCTTGACTTCTGTCTTTGAGGTAGGGACATTCTACACCTTAATATGATTTTTAACCTAGATATTTGTTGTTATGTATAAATGGTGAGACTTGGGGGTGATTTGAGAAAATCTAGGGATTGGGATTCAAATTGAAAAGAGGGGTTTTTATGATGTGTTACCTACATGATTATGGGGTTTTGGATATGAGGTTATCGCATGTTTAAATGATTAATTTTGGCCTTTGGGACAATATTTGGGAAATGAGAAAATTTGCCCTAAAATGTTGGGAATAATTATTTTGTAAAAATAATGAAATTGGTATGAAATATGTGAAATTGAGAGGGTGTATGTATAAATGATGTAATTGGATTTATTGAATCACTCACTTATGGAAATTTGAGGAATTATATGCTTTAAAGATTGTATATCTGTTTAGAAATATCTATCTTGGGCTATCGGTGGAGGATAGCTATGATTGTTGTAGAAATTGCATGAGGATTAGGTAAATTGAAACTAATCATTTAATGATGCCATTGAATATGACGGTACGCTGAGGCATGTAATATGCATGATTGTAGTCATTGAATGTGATGGTATATTTTAAATAAATTATATATGTATGATGTGTTGGGAGGAGAAACGGGATGTACTCCATGTTTTGGGAGGAGATAGGAGATGGACTCCATTGAAAATTAAGTTGGCCGGAGTGTCCAGGGTGAAAGTCTCGAAATCATATGTATACATGGGTGCCGATCCAGTGGACGAAATTTCCGTAAAAATGGCAAGGTTGAAGTGCTTGTATAGTAGTTATGTTGATTGAGAACCACAAAGTTGTAGTCTCAGTTGGATTATTTGAAAATTATAAATTTGACCTATGAATTGAAATGAAATGTACTAATTTGAAATGAATGTATGGGAATGGAATGAGATGAGTATTGGTACCGAATGGTCATGGAAAGAATGTGAATTGGTCATGAGTATCGAACATGTTAATATTTGACACTTATATCTTAGTTAAACCTCATACATTGTGATAGACTGTTTCTAGTGGGCTTTGACTCACTCTACTTGGGAAACCATTTTCAGGTACTGGTGATATGCTTCCTCTAAGGACGTAGCTTGGAAGGACTTAGCTGAAGGCTCTATTTTGTATTTTTGTGTTTAAATGTTTAATCAAGCCGAAGGTTTTACATGTATAGAGCTTAGGACTCTTTTTTGTTGTAACCATGTGATATCTTGGAAAGATGTAAGCCTATAGGGCATTTATTGTGTTGTCATTAACTAATGTTACATACTATAGATTCAGGATGAACATTTATGAATGTATAATGCATGTAATATCTTTTGTATATAAATTTTGATGAATGAAAGTATATCCATTCTATTGTGCACTCTTCTCATATGGATGGATTAGTTGTATTATTTTGGGGGCGTTACAGACAAGATCTACAAATTGTCTCAAAGGATCAAGGTGAGAAGACAACTCTAAGAGAGTAGATCTAAGGATTGAAGTGGAAAAAGTGAGTTTTTGAGAGAAAGAGAGAGAGACTCTCGGTTTTGAAAGGAAAAAGAGAAGAAATTTATGAGAGAGGTGTGGTTTGGGTCTATTTATAGTAGTAGAGAATAGCCCTAAGGTCAATGAAAAAGGATAAGTCCAAAACCCCCAAAAGTAGGGCCTATTTGAACCCCAAAATTCTGAAGAAGAAAAACATGCAGGTGTCAACCCTTCGGACAGAGGTGTCGACCCTTCAGATAGAAAAGACAATCTGGCAGCAAGCAAGGTATTGACCCTTGGACAGGAAGGGT